GTTTACACATTTGCCTTGTACTAACAGGACTGTACATTTAGCAATGCTGGTACAAACTAAGTGCTCAATAAATCTACTTATTATTTTACATTACTATGCACATTTCATAAACCATTCTTACATTCCCACATAAGAATGTATTAAAAAATAGGGTGGTAGGATTGTGGAAGATTGAACAATACATACACAAACCATGAATTTATATCTAACACTTGCTAGTGTCCAGAGGGGGGGAAATCAATTTCATTTCTTTGCATCTCAGTTATTCTAGTGTTAAATGGGGTAATGCATCTTGCAAGCTGATGAGGACTGAACAAAATTTCTATTAAAAACTTTTAATATGACCTGGAGTTACAGAAACAGTAGTAATTATTTAAGACCAAGCGATAGCACAGCGGTAGGGCGTTTGCCTTACAAGCGGCCAACATGACCGACCCGAGTTTGATTCCTCCGCCCCTCTCAGAGAGCCCGGCAAGCTACGGAGAGTATCTCGCCCGCATGGCAGAGCCTGGCAAGCTACCGGTGATGTATTCGATATGCCAAACACAATAACAACAAGTCTCATGATGGAGACGTTACTGGGCCCGCTCGAGCAAATCGATGAACAACGGGAGGACCGTGACCGGACCATGACTGAAACACCTAAAAGAGTTCTTGATTTTTTGTTGGAAGGTGTCAGACTTTTCAAACTTTGGTCTTTTGTGTACCATCAGCATATTTTTTCCACATCCAAGTACTGTAATTTAAATATTTTTAAAGTCAATTCAGAATTAACTTTAAATATTTTTAAAGTCAATTCAATTTTCTTTAAATGGCCTCTTTGAAAAAATTATAGCTGTGAAATGATGGTTTTGATGCTCTATTATTTTCCCTTAATATGTATCAACCGTTAAAAAACAGCATCTGGGGCCAGAGAGACAGTGCAGTGGTTAAGGCACCTGCATGCACTTGGACAGATGACCCTGGTTTAATCCCCAAAACTGCACATGTTCTCCCAAGCACTGCCAATGGTGATGCTTGAAAACATAACTATAGGCCAGGAATAAGCCCTAACACTGCTGGTTTGGGTGTGTCTCTAAAACAAAAAATAAAATATAAAAAACAAAACATCCATCCCGTTAACCACCCACACTATTACCCAACCACATTCTAAAACCACTTTAGGCTGCTCTACTTATGAGATGCTTAGAAAGAAATTAGGCTAGCAATTTGCGGGTTCTGCTTAATTTTTCTTCTATGAGTAATTACCACTTACAAAGGTTTGCAGAACATACAAATAAATAAGTCAAATGATAAAATTCACCAAGAATATACACCCAAAATTTTTTATGGGAGGTCCTAAACTTAACAATTAATCTTTTGTTTAATCCCTCCATCTCTATTTTTTAAACCATAAATAAACATAAGACTTGGAATAAAGGTACACCTTGTAGTGTAGTATAAAGAACATAACCAAGGAGAGTATAAAGCAGTGGACTTCACTCTAAAGCAGCAGCATTTCAGTTAAAAGAAATAGTAGGTATACAGATCATCAACAGAAACTGCTATCTTCAAGATCTTAGAACATTATGAAAAGAAAAACTATAACTAGTTATAATACAGTAACTAGTATATCAAAACTGTAACACCATAAATAATATTTACAATTCTGTGCTACAATCCAGGAAGTTCTTCTCCATTCCTCCAACAATGTTCACTGACCAAATTCAGGAAAAAGAACTTCACTCGCTGGTATTATCTATAGATGCATTCACTTTTGGAACCAATCTTAAATTCACTATATTAAGAAACACAACCACACATTTTTTTATCATTCATATTGTACAGCATTGTCAAGTGGGGCTATGGGTCCTATGGGGTTCCAGGATATTTGAAGGGAGCCATAGACGAAAATCCTGTAAATTGGGAAGGGAAGGACATAGCAAGAGAAAAGGGGACAAATCAGCAGGAGAAAGGGCACAGGAAAGAAAGTTGGACAAAGTTTAAGAAATCCTGATATAATATGTCTTAAGATAACTGATCAATTCATTCAGGAAAAATAAATGTATCCTGTTCCTAAAATGTATAAACATTTTATGAAAAAATTCAAGTATATGGCAAAGCTCCATAGTAGATAAATAACCACTAGAGAGATTCTACGATTTTTATTATACTCACTTGATCATGTATCAGTCCATTCTATATTTTAATGAACTTCTGGGATTTTAAAAATGATACTGCTTGGTAACAATTTCAGCAGGCTGTAAAAGGGTAGCTGTCAAAGATTTTGACTGATGGTGTGCAATAAACAAAAAACCCTGGAAACCAGAAACCAAATTCAGTATTCAACTCTCCAACAAACCCCAATCAAAATCTATTCAGAGCTATCAGCAGGCCATTTTAAGCTTCCACACCCTTATTCACTATCTGAATTACTTCCTAGGTTTTCCACAAAAGGCTAGTCACCAAAGCACAGATCTATGAAGCTGCTTCCAAAGTTTACGCCCTTCTGAAAACTACCCATATATAGTAAGGGCTACATTTTCTATCATTTTCAGTTGGCTCACAATATCTCAACTTTGTTTTAGTCTGTCTCTTTTACTAAGTCCTGACGCCACTGAGGGCAGGAATCCCTTTATTTAATTCTGAATCTCAGCAACCAGCATACAAACATTCAATAAATGAACATAAATGACCCAAACATGTCTTTTCCCAGGAGCCAGGGAATATGTGTCAAGCTTGTGGATGATCAATCTTATTAGCGGTTTTTCTAGAAAGATCCATTTAAGACCAAAATCCATTTTTAAGAGTTGTAATCTTTGGAGCCAATTTGCCTGGGCATAAATCCCAGAAAGCCAGCTCTGCCACTTATTTATTGCTGAGTGACTTTGGGTAAGTTTTTAAACTTTCTGTGCTTCAGTTTCTTTATTTGGAAAACAGGGATAATATTGCTTCATGGGTTACTGCAACGATTAAATAAGATTTTGCTAAAAGCCTCTTACTAGCAGCCAGGTTAATTAACGGCAGTGAGGTAAAACATTTTTAAAGCTTGAATGGTAGCAGTAAAGCAGAAAAACCAGATAGTTGCCAAAGCTTAGGTCCCTGGAATAAGATTAGGTCTCTGGAATGTAACTGTCAGGATGTGGGCTGGATATCGCAGGTCGAAAATACGTATTGTATGAATAATGGAAAATTGCTGAGTAATGCGTACTTACTAAAATAAAAGTATAAGGTGGGAACTTTGGTGGTGGAAAATGTGCACTGGTGAAGGGATGGGTATTTGATGATTGTATGACCAAAGCTCAAACAAGAAAGTTTTGTAACTGTATCTCATGGTGAATCAAGGGGGAAAAACAATAATAATAAAATTAAATTAACATTCTGAAAAAAAAAGTGTTAAAAAATGATCTAAGAAGAATGTACCAAAATGTACAACTAGAAAGGGAAGCAACGGAGTGTTATATTTTTCACCATTACAAATAGCTATAATGGGTGCTGGAGCAATATAGCACAGCGGGTAGGGCGTTTGCCCGACCCGGGTTTGAGTCCCAGCATCCCATATGGTCCCCCGAGCACCGCCACGAGTAATTCCTGACTAGCATGAGCCAGGAGTAACCCCTGTGGATCGCCGGGTGTGACACAAAAAGAAAAAAAATAGCTATAATCTAGATAGTCTTAGAACAAATTTGATTTTAGACTCAAGACTACTGTGAAAGGTCTCTGAACACTGCAAGTTTATGCATCTTTCTATATTTTTGGCTGTGCTCTGTGATCAGTCCTGGTAGTGTTCTGGGAACCTTAATGGGGTGCTGAGATTGAACCAGACTCTGCTTGCAAGTTAAGTCAAGCGCCTAAACCCTTGTAATATGTCCTCGGCTCTCTATACGACTTTCTCAATCTTCCAGTGGAGACATTTTTTCTCATTTCTTCACTGAGCTCCATTTCATTAACTTATGATTTCTGGAATTTTTTATACTGTCTTATAACTGTGAACATCCTTAAGAGCTTCAATTGGCTGGAGAAGAGATTCAGTTTTACCCTACCATACCCTGTATGTCTTTTAATCTTTATGATATATCCTTTACTTCTCAAACAGTGCTATTCCCTACACACAAGAACTTGAAATCTAAGCGTATGGTCAAACAACAAAGCAAGAGGTGTGGTGCCACGCACTAAAGATGCTGCTAAGCCATTCCCCAGGCCCCATATGCAGTGACCCAACAACACAAAGACTGGATTTATCTACCCATAAGGCCTCATACTTCTGATACAACTCTTTTGCTTTTGCTCATCTTTTCTCTTATAGCAGCCTTCCCTGACCACTTTCGTCCTCAGATAATCTTTCTCACATCCACACAATAAAAACTGGCGCTGTACTTACAGTATGTGCCATAAAGCGTAATCATACAAACACATACATTAAATGTTTCATATGTATATACATGATTTTTCAAGGGCAGAAACCACCATGTGTCCTGCTTTAAAATCCTCATACTTTCAGGGGTTAATACTGTTTAACAGTGACTACATCCATGGATTTTTTGGTTTAGGCCAAGAAGGAGGAAAGAGAAGCATGAAATAGGACGAGGAGGATGGGTTAAAAAAAACATACTGACTCAAAATTGTAGTAGAAGAAAGGTGTTCAATCAACACGTCTTACTTTCTACAAGACTGAAGACAGATCAGATACATTTTGACTCAGACTGAAGCATTTCAGTTTATGGCATTACATAGTAAGGAAAAGAGCAGGGCTACAAAATTAATTACGCTAAAGATTAGAGATAGGCCAACTGAATAAAGGGAGCTATTGCAATGACACGAGGAGAGGTGTGGGTATATAGGTGAGGGTACAGGTAGGAAGGTGATATGAAGGGGTAGGTAGATGGATTAAATGATCGAGATTAGGCAAATGGTTAAACTGGCTGCTCAGCGAGTAGAGATGGAAGGCGGGTAAGTGGGTAGCTGTTTAGTTGATAGGGAACAGATATGGCATAAAATTTAAGATCCGGCCCCTCCCTCACCTTGACCCGGAAGCGGATGAGTGCAAGCCTCACGCAGTGGCTCAGGCAGGCCGGTGGCAGGAACCAGGCCCGTGGAGGAGGGGTGCCCTTGTTGCCCACGTGTCCCACGATCAGTTGCGCCGTCTGCCGCTCGGCTTGGCACCGACGGCCCCACTCAGCCAGCCTGTCCTTACCCAGGCCCCCGGGGAACATGACGACCAGCTCCAGGCCATCGCCGCCGGGATAGGCACAAGCCTGGCATAGCGCGGACAAGTAGCCCAGCATGGCGTTCCATTGGCCGCCACACACCCAATCCGTCTGGTAGCCGCCATAAAGCCGGGGCAGCGCTGAGCCAGCATCCACAAGCACCCGGGCCCCGGGCAGCGAAGGGGGTAGCGGCGGCGGAGGTGGAGGCAGCCCAGGCTGCGGCTGGCCGTGGTGGTAGAAGTGGTGAGCGGGTTGATGATGCCGAGTCGGCCCGGCGCCCCCGGCGTAGGCACCCAGGGCGGCGGGCTGGAGCGGCGGTTGTAGAGGAGCTGAACCCCTCGAGGCGCGTGGAGCTCCAGGCGCTAGGGCTGCAGGAGGTGGCAGTTGGCGATGCTGGTGCTGCTGCTGCTGCCGCGACACCGTGCGCGCGAGTTTGAGGAGGTCCACGGGCACCACGGCCCCGGGACAACGTTTCTCCAGGAACTCTTGGAAGCCCTGGACGCCCATTCTTGGTCGATGGGCAGATGAAACGGAGGCTGCGCGAGCAGACGGAGATCGGATCTGAACGCAAAGTCAGGAGCGGGCGCATGCGCATTCCTCAGGGTGGGGGGAGCGAATACGGGGTGGGAAAATCATTCCCGAAGGGAGGGGGGAAAAGGGTGGAGACCAGAGACTAGATTTTGGAGGACAAGAGGATTGAGGCTGACTGGATTCATGAGAGGCTGGAGGATAAAAGCAATGATGGGTTCTAGTCTTTTCTCTCTGCTCTCCAATCCATTTTAGTTGCTTCAAATGAGCTGAAGTCTCCACCTTCGGGAGCCATGTTGACTCATCCTCTCTGTGGTCCATGCTTTTCAACTAGAGGAGGGGGAGGTGAGAGGGGCCTGGGGCCTTCTGGGTGTTGTAGTCTTTTCAAGGGCGGAGTAGCGCGCTACCCACCCCCTCAGCTCCAGCAAGGTCACTTGTGGCTGGACATCGCATATATTTGGGATTTGCGGTCCATCTCTTCAGAAAAGCAAGCAAACTAGCAGCTGTACTATCTATCCAGCCCCATGCATAGCTTTTAATGAAATGAGAAAGGGAACATATGAAAGGAAAATAATAACATTTTTGTTGCAGTCCATTTTTATATACCGTGGTTTTTCATTTATATATAATTTAGGTCACATCGTTACAATATTTGTGGTTTAGATGTATATGGTTACCACACCAGACCACCCTCCACCAATTACATGAAGTTACTTCTGGTCCACCTCTTGCCCTCCCCATCTCTGGCCACTTGTTTTGGTAATGTTTTGTAATCCAAGGTTAAGAATTTGTCATGGATAATGTCTTTCCTTAGATTTGGTTCTCTGTATACAATAGATATATGACATCATCCTGTATTTGTCCTCTCTCTTCTACTGTAATTCTTTTGTCCTTTCCCTTTGGCTACTGTAATTCTTTAAAGAATTTTACACTTTCATTATGAACGGCTAAACCTACATTGTTTGTGTTCCCAGGCACTGCAGATAAGAAGTGAAATTGAGTATCCTTTGTCCTCAGGATCTTTTTGGTCAGGGGAATCACCACTATTACAAATTAAAATTTAAGTTTGTAATTTTCTGGTATCTACAGTGTCCTACTGAAAACCTTCATTTCCAAACTTCCTTCATATCTGTGATTGAGCTAGGAGAAATAAAAAATCCTGGCTGCATTCAGGCACCTGATTTATTTCTAAAGGCTATCTACATTATTACTGAGTTTTGTGGAACACCACCCTCTTAATAATACCATCTTTCTTCTTTTACATAGCCTTATTCAAATTGGTTTTCTATTATATACATACATTATACAGTAGAATCTTTATGTTGGATCTAGGCCATAGAGTGGGTAGAGACCACAGAGAATAAAACCCTGAATTCAGAAAGGGATAGATTACACAAAATAGTGATTAAAGGTGTATGCTTTAGAACCAAGATCTGGATTATTATACTAGTTCAATTCCTTATTAGCCATATAAATTTAAGCCTTTGCTATATCTGTGAAATAGAGACATATTTAACAATTATTTGGTACCTATTACATGCCAGGAACAAAGCTGATCACTGAAAAAAAAAGAGTTTTCATGACAGTTAAGATGCTTGAAAGTGAGGGGTCTGGAGAAATAGTGCAATGACTCAATATGCCTTCTTGCAAGCTTTGGTCACAAAGTAAAACCCCCAATGTCATTCGTACACTTGTAAAATCCCCAATGTTATCAGTGTAATCCTGCTAATTCTGTTGTTTGAGCCAAACAACTTTGTTGCCTGTGATCTCTAGTGTTATAATTTCTGGAAATGTTACAACTGCAGCCAGGTTTAAACCGCAATGTGTACTATAGCTTAAAATGTACAATCAGGCATATGTGTGACTTTTGTTCATGATAAAATCAGCAATAATAAAGGGAAGGTGATATGGAGGTGGGAATAATAAATATTTTAAAGCTTAAAAATTGGCAGTCTCCTCAAAAGCTTAAGATTGAATGTTATAGTATATTGTTTAGCATGATAACTGGTACAGTAAGCACCTAGTGTTAATTCTTATAATAGATGAAGAGAAGTATAAAGAGGATTAAGGAAATTCCTCATTCTTTTTAATCTTATGACATTCTCTAAGAATTAACTTGCTGTTCAGTTTCTGCAGGGGCCCATTTGCTTTATCTATTGCCGAAATCCTTGGGGTCTGTTTGAGAGGTTATGATCTCTCTTGATTATAAAAAAGGATTCATAAGAAAGTCTAATGGGGCTATATATTGCTTGTGTTTCTTTTTGTGTGTGAAACAAGTTTTTTTTTAACTGAAATGTATTTAGAAAAATGTGAGGGGAGAGAAAGGGAGAAGTGCATGTTCATGAGAGAACATAGGCATCTCCAGAGTGGAAATAGTCAAGCAAAGAAACACTTAGACAAGCAAGAGAGATACATGTTTAAAGGAGAACACAGATTTGAAGAGCAATCCTGCTTGTTTTTCTTAAATCAAGAACTGGTTAGCAGCAGAGAGGTGATTTTATTACTAGCAGAAAAAATGACTATGGTTAGGGGCTGGAGAGATAGCACAGCGGGTAGGGCGTTTGCCTTGCACGCGGCCGACCTGAGTTCGATTCCCAGCATCCCATATGGTCCCCTGAGCACCGCCAGGAGTAACTCCTGAGGGCAGAGCCAGGAGTAACGCCTGTGCATCGCCAGGTGTGACCCAAAAAGCAAAAAAAAAATGACTATGGTTATCAAACTTAATTACATTAAATGTATATGTAACACATATATGATACAAATACATTAAATATGTATACATAATATATATACATTAACATTTGACACTATAATCTGGGGAGCTTTTCCTTAAGGTTGTTTTATATTATTTGGAGGGTTTGGGCAATACCCATAAGTGCTCAGGGCTTACTCCTGGCTCTTCTGGGGAACCATATGCAGTCCTAGAGATCTAACTGGAGTTAAATAGCCCCCCCCAAAAAACAAACTATTGATTATAGGTATAGGACTATGTCTTATTTTTATTCTAAATTGTGATATATAACAAAGTTTAACATTTAACCACTTTTAAACACATGCACGTACTAGATTCTGTAGTATAAAGTATATTCACATTGTCATACAACCAAGACATGATTAAAAATATTTCCCCAGGTGACTTTAATATGCAGCCAGGGTTGAGAACCTTTAAAATGGAAAAATCCTGGGGCTGGAGCAATAGTACTGCAGGTAGGGCATTTGCCTTGCACGTGGCCGATCCGGGTTCGATTCCCAGAATCCTGTATGGTCCCCTGAGCACCGCCAGGAGTAATTCCTGAGCGCAAAGCTAGGAGATAACCCCTGTGCATTGCTGGGTGTGACCCTCCCCCACAAAAAAACCAAAAAAAAAAAAAAGGGAAAAATCTTGCAAATACTTGGTGACTCATCAGTGGCTGCTTAGGCATCTGTGCCAAACATATCTGGGTCACCTTTAAGAGTGCTGAGAGCCTCCAGAGCCACACCCAGCACTATGGCAATGTTTGGAAGATCATGTGGTGTCAGGAATTGAATACCATTCAAGCTCACATTAGGCATGCGTTCTAACTCCTGTACTATCTTGCAAATAGATACTCCCTGTACTGCCCTACCTGCAGTACTATTGCTCCAGCCCCAGGATTTTTCCATTTTAAAGGTTCTCAACCCTGGCTGCATATTAAAGTCACCTGGGGAAATATTTTTAATCATGTCTTGGTTGTATGACAATGTGAATATACTTTATACTACAGAATCTAGTACGTGCATGTGTTTAAAAGTGGTTAAATGTTAAACTTTGTTATATATCACAATTTAGAATAAAAATAAGACATAGTCCTATACCTATAATCAATAGTTTGTTTTTTGGGGGGGGCTATTTAACTCCAGTTAGATCTCTAGGACTGCATACTATCTCCTGGAAAAGTTTTCTTTGCTGTATTTCTTTTGTTTTGAGGGTCACAACCCATGGTCCTCAGAGATCACTCCTCTAGTAGTGCAGAGTCACATGCAATGCAGGAGATTGAACCTTGGTCAGCTGCATGCAAGGCAAGCATGCTGACAGCTATACTATATCTCCTATGTCCCTCTCTTTTTTTTTCTTTGGCTTTTTGGGTCACACCCGGTGATGCACAGGGACCACTTCTGGCTCTTGCACTCAGGAACTACTCCTGGCGTTGCTTGGGGGGCCATATGGGATGCTGGGAATCGAACCCGGGTCAGCCGCATGCAAGGCAAACGCCCCACCCACTATGCTATCGTACCAGCCCAACATGTTTCCTGTCTCTTTGTGTACTTCTTCACCTCTGTGTACTCCTGTCTTGAGACCTATTATTTTCCCCAAGCACTATTTGAGCAGACTATTGTGTCATTCTTTATCTTTGAGATTGATTAATAATGTCACATCTAAAAGTGTGGTGTATGTTGTCTCATTCCCTTAGAGTGCTTGCCTTGCTCGTGGGCAACCCGGGTTCAATTCTCGGCTTCCCATATGCCTTCCAACCCCCAACCATCATCCATGTGCCCCTCACCCCCAAAAAACCCTTTTACTTCTGAACCTCATGTAATAATACATCACTACAGAACTTTTAGGTCAATTCCTAATATCTCCCAACAGCAGACCTCACACTGACTCATGGGTTGAATGTAGTTTGTCAGCTGTTTCTTCTCCTAAAATTTCTTTCAGAAAAATTTACTATTTTTTGAGCAAGCCTAGCAATATGTGAAAGCTACATGTTAAACCCTTTCTATACCTTCCATTTTGACTTAAACTAAGTCCACGGAGCAATATCCTTCTTTAAAAATAAGGAAAATGAGGCCAGCACAATGGTTCAGCTTCAGGACTGATTACAGAGACACAGACAGCTGAGATATCCCAGGAAGGCCCAGCCACAACCGCGGTCAGTATCTCTGGACCCTAGATAGATGGAGTTCCTGCTCTTCTAAAGGCCCAGCATTACATCCACCCATATCCTGCTCCTGCCACTGTCAGAGAAATAGCCTAACTTCAGGACTGATCTTGGAGAGGCCA